GCTCCAACAAGATATTTTGAGATTCAAGCAGGAAGACCAAACTCTTGCTACATATTATCACACTCTAAGTGGTAAATGGGAAGAGTTAGATCACTACCAAGATTACATACATGTGTGTGCAGCTGATGTTAAAGCATTTCGGGCTATGGTAGAAAGGAATCGAATCTATGAGTTCTTGGGTGGTCTGCATCTGAAATAGGACTATGGCAGGGTACAAGTGTTGGGCAGGTATCCAGCTCCTACTTTTGTTAGAGATGTGTTTTCGTATCTTTAGACTGAGGAGAGTAGAATGAAGGTTATCTCTGCACCTGTATACAACAATAGAACAAACCCAACCCTCCAAAAGGAGGGAAACAGGATGATAAGAGCAAGTTGAGGTGTGATCACTGTGGGCGTACACGCTACACTAAGGAAACATGCTGGAATCTACACGGTTGCCGTACTCCAGCTCCTGCTCATGCGAACGCTAGGCCAAGGCCTAGTCCATTTAGGGGGTTATCTACGGCACATGTTGCAACACATGTGACTACTAATATTAGTCATGCCTTCTCAGGGCCATCGAATACTTTGTCCGACGTTGAAGTTGATGCTCTTCGACATCTGCTAGCCCAAAATACCTCCACTTCCACCTCTAACTTTGCTCAAACATGTACCTCTTATTCGGCACATCAGGTTTCCACATTATCGCATGATTGGTATGGCATCTGATTTCTCTTCGTACAGTTTATGTTCTGCTAAGGATAAGGTTAGAGTGGTTGATGGCACCTTCTCCTCCATTGTGGGGAAGGGAACTGTTTTGGCCTCTCCTAATCTTACCTTATCCTCCGTTCTTCATGTCCCAAAGTTTACCAATAACCTTCTTTTTGTCAGTCACATCACAAAAGGCTTGAATTGCAGTGTAACCTTTTTTCATCTCACTGCGTGTTTCAAGACTTGGACACGGGGAAGACGATTGGGAGTGAACGTGAGAGCAATGGCTTGTATTTGTTGAACGCAAGGCCAACTTTTTATTCTGTTACAAATCAATCTAGTGCTAAGAATAGTACTGTCAATCTGTTAATGCGATGGCATAATAAACTCGGTCATTTATCTATTCCTGTTTTGAAGCATGTGCTTCTCTAGTTTGCTTCTATTAAATTTTTTGAGTTAAATTGTGAAACATGTGTTCTTGCCAAACAACGTTGTGTTTCTTATCCTACTAGTATTAATGAAAGTACAACTCCTTTGCACCTCGTTCATTCTGATGTGTGGGGTCCTGAATCTACTACTTCTTTACTTGGTTTTCACTACTTTGTTGTGTTTGTTGATGACTTTAGTCGTTATACTTGGGCTCATTCCATTTTCAAAACCTTTCATAAGATGATATGTACTCAGTTTGGTTGACCCCTAAAAATCCTTCTATCTGATAATGTACGAGTGTTTGTGTATGGTGGTCTTAACCCCTTTTTTGGCTGACAACGGGATTGTCCATCAAACCTCCTGTGCCAATACAACACAACAGAATGGGTGTAGCTGAAAGAAAACATCGTCTTATTACGGAGGCAACCCGTTCTCTTCTAATTGGGATGGGAGTGCCTAAAAGTTATTGGGCTGATGCAACCTTAACCGCTACATACCTTATCAATCACATGTCTTATAGGGTTCTCGGCTATCAATCCCCCTTCTTTGTCTTACACCGTCACATTGCCTTGTTTACTATCCCTTATAAAGTGTTTGGTTGTGTTTGTTATGTTCACATTCATCATCGCAAGGACAAAATGGACCCTAAGGCAATCTGGTGTCTTTCTTGGATACTCCGTCGCTTAGAAAAGGTATCGGTGTTATAAACTTACCACTCGTCTTCGGTTTTCCTCTATGGATATTACATTGTTCGAATCTGTTCCTTTTTTTTTTCCACTGCTCGGGATTCTCTACAGGGGGAGACTATTATTTGTGTAGAGAATCCGTCTTCCATTCAGGGGGAGCTTCTCACTGAGGTGCCTATGTCTACTCCTCCTAGCACTAATGATTTGTAGCAGGAAACGCAACCAAACCAATTGTTTAACTAGGAGGGCAAAACAAGTCATTGACTCACCCTAGGACCAAGAAGTCTACCTCAATCTACGTAATCCCTCTGTTGACATTAATATTCCTGAATCTTTTCCTATTAGTATTCCTGTTGATCTTAATGTCCCAATTGCCTATCGTAAGGGTGTTCGTAGTTGTACAAAACATCCCATATCTCAGCTTGTATCCTATGACGCCTTATCTCCAACATATTGTGCTTTCACTTCGTATATCTCATCTGTTTTTGTTCCTTCTAGTGTTTCAAATGCTATCAGTCAAACTCCATGGAAGGAAGCAATGCTTGAGGAAATTAAGGCTCTTAAGAAGAATGGTAATTGGGATATTGTTTCATTGCCTAGGGGTAAAAAACCAATAGGTTGCCAATGGGTCTACACAATAAAGTATCATGTAGACGGAACAATTAAGAGATATAAAGCCCTGTTATATGCAAAAGGCTTCACTCAAACCTATGGGATTGATTATCTGGAATCATTTGCTTCAGTTGTCAAGATGAAATCTAGATGTGTCCTCCTTTCTTTAGCAGCTAATTTGAATTGGCTTTTACATCAGCTGGATGTAAGGAATGTTTTCACCAGGGTTTAAGCTTGTCAATGGTCAGAATTTAGTGTGTAAGCTAAATAAAGCCTTATATGGGTTAAAGCAGCCATTGCGTGCTTGGTTTGAGAGGTTTAGCACTGCTATGAAAAGAGTAGGGTATACGCAGAGTCAGGCAGATCATACTCTCTTCATAAAAAAGCACTAGGGATGCACCATTGGCTTTATTGTATATGTTTATGCTATTGTTATCACTGGAAATGATCCAGAAGAGATTCATAGAATGAAGTCATTCTTGAGGACATATTTCTAGGTTAAAGATCTCAAGATCATTGAGATCCTTTCTGGGCATCAAGGTGTGTAGATCTAAAAAAGGGTGTTCATTTCTCAATGTAAGTATGTGTTAGATTTGTTGGCTGAAACCGATAGGCTTGGAGCTAGACCTATTGATATTCCCACTGAGTATAACCGTAGGCTTAATGATGTGGGAAGATTTCAGTGATTGGTTGGGAGACTGATTTACCTATCTCTCACGCGCCCGAATATTGCCTACATTGTTAGTGTGATTAGTCAGTTTATGCATGCCCCACATACACCTAATCTTGAGGCAACTCATCATGTTCTCCGCTACCTTAAAGGGTTCAACGGGTGGGGATATTATTTAGCCGTCATGGCCACTTGCGTGTTAAAGCCTATACAGATGTTGGTTGGGTAGGGGCATTAACAAATCAACGATCTATTTCAGGATATTGCCCATTTGTTAGAGGGAATTTTGTTTCATGGCGAAGCAAGAAACAGTTTGTTGTAGCTAAATCTAGTGCAAAGGCCGAGTTCAGATCCATAGCACGTGGAGGTTGTGAGTTGTTATGCCTACGAACTATGTTGGATGAGTTAGAGTAGAAATATAAAAAGAAGAGAAAGGAGAGAATTGCGTAAAGACTTGAATGAGATAATTACTCATTCACAGCTCTAGTATTTATAGATAAAAAGAGCACATGCTCCTATTACAAGAAAGGAAATTAAATCAAATCTAAATCAAATCATAGCATATTCTATAGCATAATCAAATCTCTGCTAGTACGGTAAGTCATTCCATAAATTGTGGCTATCATATCTGCTAACAGTTAGGTTATCGTGTTCACAAGTCAATGAAATTGTATTGTACAAACAAGGTTGCTATTAGCATTACCCACAATCCAGTTCAACGTAACAGGACAAAGCACATTGAAGTTGATCGACACTTCATCAAGGAAAAGCTTTGTCTTAGGCTGATTTGCACTACATACGTCGACACACATGATCAGGTCGCTTGCTGATGTTTTGACTAAGGATGTGAACAAGACTTACTTGCAAAATCTGTTAGTCAAGCTGAGCATGACAGATATCTTTGCACCAGCTTGAGGGGGAGTATTGTCAGGGGCTTATTTGTTATTACTTATATAATGTTGGGTGATTTTGTGTAATTTCTGAAACTTGTTAGTATAAATAGAATGTGGTGGAAGGATGAAAGGATTCTTTCATTCTTTCTTTCTTTCCACATCTCTCTCTTTTTCTCTCCTCTTTCTTCTCCTCTTCTTCATCTTCTTCTACTTTACTATTATTTTGATTATCTCTTAAAGTCAACACTGCCAGAAATTCAATTAGGTGGTCTTGGCGGGGGGACTGATTACAGACTCTGGAAGAATGCTGTGCCTAGAGACCATGGAATCACAGGAAAAGCAGTTCAGAAGAGCCAAACTCAAACTTTTTCAACTTGAGATCAATTTGTTTATCTAATTCAGCTACTAAGACGAGCTCAAACTTTTTCAATCATGGGCGAACCAAGCTCGAACACTAGTGTAGAAGCTCGAGTTAAGCTTGAACATACCCCTACTGGCTCATTTACATCCCTAGGCTGTATAGCTTAGGTGGTATATTGGTGTCCCTTGGTCCTTACAAAAGATGTCTTCCCCCTCACCCACCCCCCTCTTCCACGTTGTGTAAGCATGCCATTGGACCAAATCCAAAAATCTAATAAACTAAACACTTGGATTTTGGTTTTGCACCCAGAGGAACATTTTAAAAGGACCTTGTGGTGGAAAGGAGAACAGTTAGAATTTCAGAGCATAAGGTTCGGCTCACACAGTCTGTCTTTTTTATAAGATCCAGGAAAGGAAAAATAAGTTCCTTTAGGGTTCGGAAAATTTGGAATCCTAACCGAATAGAATAATTTGGTCCACATTTTGAGTTGACTTACTGGGTTTCTTCCCCGAATTTGATTACGTTTACATATCACCGACAGCCAACATTAATCAAATCACTTCTTGCACTTCTACTTCCGAAAAATAAGAGCATGAAATTTAATTAAGGAATGTGATGCCAAACCACCATAGTAAAACACAGTGAGTAAAATTAGTCACCAGTATTAAACGATTCTTGTGGTAGACATTGAAGCCATGTAAATTGACTTCTGGAGCTTCCTTCAGGAACCCTATTGTTGTTAGAACCGTACCCTGCATTTTAAAACCAAAAATCAGCTATGTGAATGATGACATCGAGCAAAATGCAAAGCTATGGATATAATTAACATCAAGGGGCCACATACAAAGCCAAATATGCACACGCACAAGGTTAGTCAGCATCGAGTGACACGTGAAGGATAAAAAAATATGTTTACACACGCACACAGAGTGCCGTCACACAGAAAGCATGTCCCATAAAACTAGTCCTAACCCAGACAGCACTTGGACTACTCATAAGTTTTATTATTTTATCCTTCCCTGAAAAAAACCTTAATATCTATCAACTTTTTATAACTTTCAAAATACCTATTATATTTTTTTCCTTCATAATGTATAGAGTGAGTGTGACAAAAATGCGAATATTGGGATGGATGTACGGCAAGACAAGAAAATATAGAATTAGAAATGAACATATACATGAGATAATTGAATTCAGACACATGTTTAAAACAAGAAAACAATGATCAAACTTCCGGACAACATCTGCGTGCGGAAGGATAATGTGAGTAATATAAAGTTTACCATCAAAACAACTCTCATTTAAAAGTGTGTGCTGCTCTAGATGTCAGTATAGATCAGACAAGTTAATATCATTAAAAATAAATAAATTGTCGAAAAGAGTTGACAATTCACATGAAATGCAAGGATGACAGTGGAATCGTAATTTCAAAAACTAAAATGGTTTCCAGTAAAAATAAAGTTCATGTCCAACCAAAATACGAGTTTGCTGTAATCAACTACAACCTCCACACATCCACCACTTTGAGGTTTATACTCGATGATTTGTGGAAATTTGAGATCACTGGCAATATTATGACACTCAACAACTCGCCCACGCAATACCATCCGGAAACTTTCAGGTATTCGCAAATACAAGATGGACAAGTATGCCTGTGGATTGTAGCAGAACAAAATTTAGCAAGTGTTTACTTAATATATAAGTATAAATTCTAAAACTTATACTTACCCGGAGAGAAAAACGATGTCGATTAGCAAGGTGCTGTTCACTTACAGCCGTAAATTTACATCTGTCAATAGTTTTGGCATCATGTCTTATACGAATATCCTGCAACCGTCGTGTCACAAGAAGCTACCTAATGGGAAATGATTGCAGAATGTATTTCAAGAAGAAAAATGAACAGAAAGGGAATGAACCTAACCTCCGTATCTGAGTCAAAATCTAACTCAATAGCACCCTCATCATTTAGCCATAAATTGTAGATGATGATCTTCGTGCCACTGTACCCAATGTCATCAAACTGCCCACCAAATTGACAAACCAGTGAAATAAAGCAAAGTATTACCCGAAACTACTCATAGACACAACACACATTCCACTGTGTTGTTTTCCTTCTAATTCACTGCTATTCAATTTCATCATCACTTTTTAGCATCTATTATGTAATTGCTTCACTGTTTGTCTGGTGAACCCCGTTTTCTTTATCTTTGTAACAAGGGCATTTCTCACCCCTGACCAGAATCACAACCAAATCATCTTCGATCCAGCCACAAGGCAACCAGTTGGTTTATCCAGTCATCAAAATCGACCAAGATCTGAGCCATATATATTGCATAATGATATATTAATACTCTACCCTTTCCTTTTAGCATTGATAATTAAGTACACTCACGAAGCGATGCATTGAAGTCTGAAGTACAATACAGGGTATATTCAATCTATAAGCAGTGAGTTTCTGTTTTAAGGCTTTCCAACCATGTAATACACACAAAACAGTCATTTAGCACAGATAATGCAACGTATAATCAGACATAAATTCAACTTCTGTCAGTTTTCAGGACGCTAATGTTTCAGACAATAGTGTTCAAACAATTAACAGAAAAAGTAATATATCAGTGTTATGAGGAGCCAATATAAGCTACCCTTATAGCCATTACAATAAAAGGAAACAGGATGAGATGAAAGCACTGAGGTGGGTTTCCTATGACACGTCCAGGGTGTTCCATGCCCTCAGACCAACAAATCAAAGAGTAGAGTTGTACTGTAATGTGTTACTAAAAGATCAATTGGTAACATGAAACAGAAACTAATTTGATTGTAACCAAAATAAACCTCATAAATATTAGCAAAATTGATAATCTGAAAGGGCAACAAAAGACATCATGGAAAAGACAGTCAAAAATAGAAAATCACAGAAAACAAAACCGTGACCGCTTACTTGCTTCAGAAGCTCTACTTCAGTTGAATATGGAGACCACTGCAACAGCATGGAAAGATTAGACGTAAAATGTTCTTTACCATATCGATGTAAGGTATCCATTGTGCCGGTCAATGTGTTGAACTCATAATCTACCTGCAATATACACGAGATACCGAGAAATTAAACTATATATGAAAAATAAGATGAATTTCAATTTAAATTATCAAGAAAAAACCAGAAGTTCAGAACATCACGAGAAAAAAAACAATAAGTGAGAACAGTGTACAAAACAGAAAACCACAACATAATGGCAGGGGTTTTACAACCTAAGGTTCACCCGGCCTCAACAAAGTAATATGGGGTCAAACATAATTATAAGCTTTTGGACGGATTGTCAAAATATAGGCCACAACTGGAAAATGTTGTCATGTGCAGCAATTAAATCAAAATGTCCAATTTGATCGTGGACAATTGGAAGGAGCCAAAAGGTCATATATGGCATGCGCACTGAGGAATGCATGCTCATACAGTCCAGTGGAAAATTGGAATTGCTATATTAAAAACTAAATGACATTTGCCAATTACTGCTATACATTTCCAAACATCTAAGTCATAAACTGACACAGCTTGTGCTGTTGGAGCAAATTAGCGTTAACATAAACAAAATAATCAATGGAAATATACACACCCAAAAAAAATAGCAGAACAGGAAAATGTGCACTCACCATAGGAACTACAATTCTGTCATGGCCTGTTTGTGTCAAAAATGTGTAAGATAAAAGACCGATGCTTTGAGTCAATTTCCTGTTTATGAGATAATATATAAGGACATGTAATATTTAAATGGAAAACGATATGACAAGGTAAAGTAATTTATTAGGACAAAGAAAATAGGATTCACTTTATCTATGCATAAAAATCAGTTTCAATCAGAATGTTTTTTTACAGGAACTGTTGAAAAGTTTTGAAGGATCAAGTTAGAAAAGAACGAAAAAAGAAAAAAAGAAAAAAGGAAAAAAATATTAATAATAAGGACACAAATTAATCAAATATAAAAAGGAAATCATCGTAGCATTCATGCTAACCCATTTCACAACTCATGAAACATATCAAATATAAAAAGCCATGATACACTCAGTTGTTTTCTCTAAAAGAATCAGATCTAAGAAAAGATAACGCCTATAATATAAAGCAACCTTTCTTAAACGATTTGTTGTACACGCTCTTCAAAAGAATGAATAGGAGCCATAAAGCATATTTTTCTTGAGACATAAGATCCAGAGAAGTTCCAAATTCTCCAGAGTTCAACAAAGGTTCCAATATTTAAGAGTTACACTTTACTATCAGTGGGTATCTTCATGAATCAGCGAGGTGGTGTCATCTCCACATGTCTGCAAGGTGGCAGTCCACATGATACTTTTTTTTTTTTTTAAAGTGGCAGTCATCGTGATACTTTCTGATGCAATGAGCCACATGGCGCCCGTACAACAATCAGCATGTCACTCTGCCAACTCGTCATGTGGCACTCTCCAAATAGACAATTCTATATTCTTCAGTTGGCACCTGGACATACTTAAAATCATGACAAGTGTCACATCTCCTTACCTAGAACTCTTGTTTTGATAAACAGGCAAGAGCATGGTCTATCTTAGCCATTACACACTCACCGGCCATGCGAATGGATATCCAGGACAGGCTTGGAGAACGCATTTTTACCAATTCATCTTGTGGTCAATTCTATATTCTTCAGTTGACACCATAATGCTCGATGCATATCAGACCTTTAATAGATTCACGTGTTTCCTAGACCTCCAAAATTGACAAACAGGCCAGAGCAAGGTCTATCTCAGGCATCACACACTCAACAACCATGCAGACGGCTATCCAAGACTGGCTTGCACAATGCACTCTTTGGCTGCATGATGGTGTATCTATATATATACATATACGGTTCGACTGTGCACCCACTGACAGCACAGTTAACTTCTCCAAAGGATCCTGATCATCTTTATCTATCCATCAAAACTTACATCAGTGCCCCCAACACCTTGCAACTGCTTGGTTTAGGAACAGTGCTAAGTAACTCCTCAAGTTCAGTACATGAAATCAACTTGGGGTAGTTCCATAGTACACTAAGGATCCTTGGAATTGTAGTTTGGAGGTTAAAATCTGGGGGCCATCAAGGTGAGTCCCTATCACACCCTACACCTCAGCCTGTCTTAAAAGAGAGAAAAAGACAGCATGACTTCAAAGAACATCCCCTCATGAAGCAAGTTTCCCAAAGGACCACATCTTGCACATGCAAAATCTTTCCTCCATGTGTACCTTTTCCTATAAATAAGGTGGGACACAGTTTTTATTTATTTATTTATTTATTTATTTTTTTTTTTTGATAAGTAAAATGTATTAGAAAGCGTTCAAAAGGGGAACGCATCCCAAGCTATACAAAAAACAAAAAGCAAAACGTAACCTATGAACTCAAAGAGCCCAAGAGATCCACAATATCCTCAAGAGAAGAATAATCTATTCCCCAACCCCAACAAAAAAGAGTACAAATAATAGAAAATTTCAGCACCCCAATAGAGGACTCCATCTCATCAAAAGATCTTTTATTCTGCTCGTTCCAAAGGCTCCACCAAACGCAAAAAGGGGTCACCCTCCAGAAGTTACGCACCTAAGCCCCCACCCATTGACCCCTCCATAAATCCAATAACTCTCGAGAAGTCCGAGGCATGACCCAATGAATACCAAACAAGCCAAAAATGAGGCTCCAACAGTCATGAGCCACAGGACAATGCAACAGAAGGTGATCAACTGACTCTCCATTAAGCTTACAAAGACAGCACCGATTAACAATGATATGTCTTCGCTTCCTCAAGTTGTCCAAAGTCAATATCTTACTCCAAGCTACAGTCCACACAAAAAAGGCCACCCTAAGAGGCACCTTAGATAACCACGCCGTCTTCCACGGGAAGGTGGTACCATGAAAACCAGAGAGGCACACAAAAAAGGACCTAACCTGGAACATCCCCTGTGTAGAAGCCACCCAAATCAGGGAATCAACACCAGTGCCTTCCACCTCTTGTCTGTACAGGAGAGCCAACAAACCAGTGACATCATCCAACTCCCAATCCTAAAAAGAACGCTGGAATCGCACATCCCAAGACAACCTCTCGCTATTAAGGCAATAGTAGTCAGCAACCATAGCATGTTTGTCAACAGCAATCCTGAACAGCCTGGGGAACAAAAAAGCCAATGGCCTATCCTCGCACCAGGAGTCCTCCCAAAACCGGACATTCCTTCCATTTCGAACTCTGAATCTAATATGTTTGGAGAATTCATCCCACCCCTTTCAAATGGCCTCCACACCCATACTCCACTAGCAGACCTGATTGGCCTAGCTGACCATCCCCCTCTCTCCTCCCCAAAGCGACACGAAATAACCCTTCTCCATAATCTATGTCTTTCACTGCCGAATCTTCAAAGCAACTTGCCAAGAAGAGCACTGTTGAAAGGGGCCAACCTCCTAATCCTAAGACCTCCCAACTGAAAAGGTCTACACACCTGCTCCCATCTGACAAGATGATACTTAAACTCCTCTCCAGGACCCCTCTAAAGGAAGTTCCGTTGAAGCATCTCAAGTTGTCCAACAATAGAGGCTGGAATCCGAAAAAGCGAGAGAAAGTACGTTGGGAGGCTTGACAAAGTACTCTTCACTAACGTAACTTTACTGCCCTTGGAAAGATGTTGCTTTTTCCACCCAGCTAATCTTCTCTCGACCCGCTCAATCACCGGGTCCCAACTACCCACCCTCCTGGCCGAGTCCCCCAGCGGCAAACCCAAATACGAGATAGGGAAGCGTTGCGTCCCACACCCTAAAGTAACAGCCAGAGTGTCCACCTCCTGAACCTCCCCCACAGGAACAAGCACACTCTTACCCACGTTGACTTTCAAACCAGAGACAGCCTGAAAGCAAATCAAAACACATCTCAGATACCTCAATTGGGACACCTCTGCCTCACAAAAAATAATAGTATCATCCGCAAAAAGCAAGTGAGAGATCTCTATCTGCTGAACTAAGTCAGGGCCGATCTTGAAACCCCTAATAAAACCCAAGTCCACCACCCTTCTCATCAACCTACTACGGGCCTCCAAAACGATAATGAAAAGGAAAGGGGAAAGAGGGTCCCCCTGCCTCAGACCGCGAGAACTGTCGAAAAACCCAGCAAGGGACCCATTCACCATCACCGAAAATCTGACAGTGGAAACACATGAAACAATCCATTTCCTCCATCTCTCACCAAAACCCATCCTCTCCAACAGATAGAACAAGAAATTCCAGCAGACATGATCATAGGCTTTCTTAATATCCAGCTTACAAAGAATACCAGGAGACCCACTGCAAAGCCTAGCATCCACACACTCACTGGCAATAAGGGCGGAGTCCAGAATCTGTCTACCCCCAATGAAAGCAGCATTCTGAGACTCAGAAATGACTCCATCCAGAACCTCCCTCAATATAAACGCAAGGACTTTTGCAATAAGCTTGTAAATGCACCCAATCAAACTGATTGGTCTAAAATCCTTGATGTTAGAAGCACCACCCTTCTTAGGAATAAGGGCAATGAAAGATTCATTCAGTGATTTCTCAAACTGCCCTGTGGAATGCAACTCATGAAAGGTTCCCATAACCTCGTACCGAACCACCTCCCAGCTCTCCAACAAAAATCTCATAGTAAAACCGTCAGGGCCTGGAGCCTTATCGCCATTACAACTCTTTAAGGCCTTCAGCACCTCCTCCTCTGAAAAAGGACTCTCCAACCCATCCCTTTTCAAAGCAGAAATAGAATCAAAGTGAAGGCCATCCAGACGTGGCCTCCAACGAAGAGGCTCAGAATAAAGCCTTTGGTAGAAAGAGACAATACCGCTTCTCACCTCCTCCTCCGTAGATAAGACCGCACCATCCACACACATCCGCCCAATGTGATTACTCCTCCTATGAGCATTAGTGGTTCTATGAAAAAACTTGGTATTTTGGTCCCACTCTTTGAGCCACAAGGCCCGAGATTTCTGGCGCCATGAAATTTCCTCCAAAACTGCAATCTCTACACATTCTGCCTGACAAGTTACTCTCCTACTGCATTGAGAATCAGAAAGAACACCCTCCCCTTCCAATCTATCAATCTCAGCAATATCAACCAATGCCCTATTCTTCCTCCACTCCAAACTCCCAAAAACCTCCTTATTCCACCTTTTGAGATTATTTTTCAGAAGTCAAAGCTTTCTTGCAAGAATAAAGCTCGACGTACCCACCACCAAGTTCTCCCACCAAGAATGCACAGATTCCTGGAAATTATCCGCACACAGCCACATGTTCTCAAATCTGAAGGGAATGCTACGAGATCTCAAACCCCCACAGTCCAAAACCAAAGGAATATGGTCTAACGTCACCCTAGCCAACACAACCAGAACAACATCCGGGAACTTCTCCTCCCAGTCACCGGAAATCAAAAATCTATCAAGGCGAGAGAAATTTGGGGCTTCCCTTCCATTGGACCAAGTGAAAGAAGCTCCCTCAAGAGAAAGTTCAAGGAGCTAGTGGCCATCGATAAAATCAGAAGTGCATCATAGCCTGAGTCCACGGACCACCTGTAGATCTCTCCGCCGGGGATCTAACCACATTAAAATCACCTGCCACGCACCAAGGAAGAGACCACCTCCCCTTCACCCCACTCAACTCCTCCCACAACTCATCCCTCACACCATCATCAACCGGCCCATACACCCCAGAAAAGCCCCAAGTG